ATGCTATTGTTTTGTGGACCTTAGCAACAATATCCAAGGCGCAGGGCTCAGTGGAATAGTCCATTGTTTGTAAAACAACATACAGTACAACACACTAAGGATAGGCTCACCTTTCTGGATGGTACATCTAGCGGTGTAACTGGAACTTCTAATGGTCCGTGAGGTCGTGCTAACAGCGTTACGTGTGGTGGTGTGTCATTTATCATTGAGAAGATGCAGCGAACTTGAGGAGCAAGTTTCCGTGGCAACCAACTCAGCGTTCCATGACCTTTCTCTTCATCAACCTTCAAAATTCAAATTTTTCAAAACTATAAAGCACTAGCCATGGGATAATTAAAGGAACTTATGAACATTTTTTGATGACTATTCATGCATTAGGCCTACCTGATTGAGGGCGTCAACTAAAATGATAACAGGCTTTGAGTTTGGATTGGACAGTACACCAGCAACAAGCTGAGCAGCGCCCTCATAGTCCTTGGGCATATTGGAATCCTGTGAACAGCAAAGCAAAAATAGGGTAACATTTATCAAGATTATTATCTATAATATATTTTTGAAATTGCTTTTGAAAAATACTGTATTTTTATGTATTGCAAGTGATAATTTATTGCTTTTACAAAAATATGGATTTTTCATACAATAAAAAATATAACACCAGACAAAATTGTTAAACTTTAATAAACAAAACAAAAATATTTGGCTATTATTATTTTACTAGACTTTTTAAAGTCCTTGATTTAAAAACATGAACCAAAAATAAAATGTTGGTAGTCTATGAGTGAGATGAACCAATATATGCTAGTTTCCTTTTTAGAAACTTGCCTCAAAAACAACGAAATCGACTGACACTGGCATTATATGCAATGAATATATGTAACGCAAATATGCTATGTAACATGAACCAAAACAATTGCATATCAAGTCAGGGCACCCTGTGACTGCTCCATTCAACTTACATTACAAATCTTCAATTCCTTAAGGAGTCGTTTTAAAATCATCTCTTGATCCGTGGATCCTGGAATAGCACCAACGAAGTGGTAGAAGACATGCCAACCTACATCACCTCCACTAAGATAAAAAAAAAAAAACAATAAGCAACCTTAACAATAGCTTAAGTATTAAAAATTCTCAGCTAATTAGAGTGAAGTTGAATAGCTTGGAAGTTAGGATGCTTGCCTGGCCTTCTCAGGGTCACGGATTCAATTCCTGTCAAGGTAACAGGATATTTCCTCACAACCAACTTTGATTGTTTTTTTATAGTAGAGTCAGTTTTAAATTTAGACATTCAAACATTTGTCAAAAACTGGGGCAATTTTGGGGATGGGCAGGACAGTGGAAATCAAGTTATAAAAACGGGCATATCCCGCCTAAAATGCGACAGTTGGAATCCATGCTAAATTTTTGTAGTAAAACAACTATAAATTATTGAATTTTCTACATTTTCATTATTTCAGGGGATTTTTTTTACATAATTTTTAGATGGCAGTATATCTTTGAAATATAATATCACTTGGAAGAAATGCAAAACCTACCCTGGAATTTCCCCACCACTGGCCTTTTGTGAAGCAACATCAGCTGCTTTGGCCATTATGGATGACTTGCCGGAGCCTGGTCCACCGGTTAAGATCAACGGCATGCCAGTACCCAAGTCTGTCACATAGTTTGCAATCTACAAACAAAACAAATCAAATTAAATAATTCTTCATTGCAACAAACCAAATGGGTTGAATTTTACCAAGAAGAAAGTGGTTCAAGCTTAAAAATTCTAAACAATCAATACAGTATTTAAAAACAGTTTGACAAAAGGAACCACATCACAAAAACAACACAGAGTAATAAGGAGTTTAATGGGAAACAAGGCAAACAAATATATTATTATTATTATTATTATTCCTATTAATAACTTTATTATAATTATTAATAAATATTATTACAGTATTATCATTAAACGGCCTGGAAGATGCGAAAATGTGGAACTAAATCCTTATTCCAATGAAATCAAATGCTCATATTTAGTATTTTAACTCTTCTATAGGTCTTTAGGTAATGAATATTAAGGACATCCCCTAAGCTTTGAGTAATTTTCAAGCAAAATGCTTAACCCGAGTTTGAGCTCTGATTAGATAACCTATATCAATTTTATTCATTACATCCACCACCTCAACACAACTTTTATTCTATAAACAGCTCTTTGTGGTAGCCAGACTCACTTTATCCAAAATCTCATTTCTACCAAGGACAACAGTACATCTGCTCTTCATGAATGCTTCGTGAGCCTCCTTCTCTTGCTCGAACACGTCTAGTTTACCCTCGAACAGCGGATACTGCTCTGCGATCCTCTCTTGAAAAAATTTGAAAACCTTTGAAAAACAGGAAATACAATCAATTTAATTGATCATCTTTATGTTATTTGTGATACAGAAAATATATTATTATACACCATATGCAGTCAAAACTATTCTAAGAAGGAACTTTGGTAGCACAAATTAATAATCATGTTTGCATTGTAATAATCACATAAAAATCAATTAAAATATTATTACGAAACCCCATAAATGAAATGTCATGCTTTTGAAACTGTTGCAACCATTCAATGATAATAAATCTATTGAAATCAAAGTAATGTATCAGATATGAAGTGATAAGAAGTGATAAAAATTCAAAGTAAGCAAAATTAGTATAAAAATCTTTTGAAAATTTACATCCTATGTTAAGCTAATAACATTTAAATGAGAATTAAAATAAACAAAAAATACAAACATGCAAAAATGTACATGCAAAAGTGACTCTTATCATAGAATTTCATACATGAAACCCCTATTGTAAACATTCACTGAGGGTGCACATGTGCAATCCATGCTTTAAATGAACAAGACAAAACATACCACACGGGAGAAATCTTTAAGACATGGCTTCGGATTTGACATCTACTTGTAGACCAGCAACAAAGATTACAAAAGAAATAGATTTATTACATACAACAGATAATAAGAGTGAAAATAAGAAAGAAACAGTGAAAAGTGAAATCTAAGAGGAAGACAGAATAATTTTGTAAAATAAGAAACAATAAGATTAGGGGAAACTACAGTTTCCATAGAATAATTGTTTATAAGGTTGTAACACTATAGTGGGGTTATGTGTGGGGAAAAGTGTGACCGAATATTGCAAAGTAGGGGTATTGTGGGGGTAAGGGAGTGTATAGAATAATTTCCTCCTAGGCACTCTTCTGGATCTGCTAAAGAATACAAGGGTTTATATCGTCACCTTTTCACAAAGTGACACAAACTTCAAAAATCATATTTTTTCAATTTTTTTTTCTTTGACATTTTGATTATATACATCCAACTTTACCTTTTCATCTAATTTTTAAGAGTGGAACTAAACTAATTAGCTAATTAAGCTAATTAGCTGTTGCACACAAACCGAGAAAAATGGATTTTTCATTTCCACGAACAGACACAAACTTTCATTGGGTTATTAAAAGACGCGCGTGCGGCGTTGCAATCATTGTGATCGCTAGGTAAGGCCTAGCTTGGCTAGGGCCAGATGTAAAAATTAGATTTCCCTAGCTTACCTAGGCATACTGGTACCCTTCCTGCAGTACAACTTGGGATAGGTCTATACACGTGCATCAAATGTGGAATTATTCGTAAAAACGTAATGATTAAAGCAGGATAAGCCGAGATTGTAGGCCTGTTTTTGTTTTTGACTACAATGGTTAACACATAGCTAAAATACAGTTTGTGCCTTAAAAACGGGTGCGCGTACAGTTTTCACGAAGAGACACAAACTTCACTCTACGTGTAAACAACATATGCTGTGTTTATTCTGATCGTTTTCACGAACAGACACAAACTTTTCATGCTAATTAACAGGTTGATTAAAGTTAAGAAAAGAAAAATAAATTACACATTTGGATTGTTTAATGTTTTATCTTTGAACATATGTAAAAAAATATTCAAAATTCCGTTATCTTGTTAGTGAAATTTACGAATTTGTGAAGTAGTCCACTTCAAAAGCATTTTTCTCAAAACGTCATTTTCGTCAAAATTGAAGTTTGTGTCTCTTCGTGAAAATGGTGACGATATGATTCACATAGCTTAATAACACATAAGAACAACTTATAATTACGTATTTATATTAGATGTATTTTTGGTCAAAATGTTTAAAACTAGAAACAAAGAAATGGGGATCCAAATTTATAAACAACACATTATACACAATAATATGGAATTAAAATTTTAAGTTGAAGAAAAAGAATAAATATAAGATTAAAATAGACCATGAAAAAAGCTTTTAAAAAGTTTTACCTTGTTTGTGAATTCGCCATGGAGACCATCAAGACTAACTTTTCCGGTGTCAGCATCGACTCCACCATAGCTACAGTTGTAAGTAAACACACGGTCAGCCTGAAATACAAAAAACACACTAATATGCATCTTAAATTGTCTTTAAAGAGTGTAGTGACGTGTCTGGTCCTCTTGTCTGGTTATTTTAGGTTCACAATAATTGTTAGCGACCTTCCATTTTTTCTGCACCTTGACCACTACTGCAGTGGATATGTTAAGTCGTACTATTATTATTATTATTATTATTATTATTTTGTTTTAACTGTAGGCTTGGCCCGGGATTAATCAATCTCAGCTTTATAGCAAATGTCTTAAGATGTCCCTAAGCAAATATCCTAAGCTGATTTATCAAACCATCTTAGCAAAACCTTAGCTAAAAAATCGTCTTAAATGGCGCATACGTACAATCAACTTTTTAATTTTAAGCAATTTTAAACTAAGCAATATTGATAAATTTGACTTAAGGAAAAAACTGGACTTACAACGAATTTAAGCTAATTTCAAGTTTGATAAATCCCGCCAGAGGCCTAATTTTAGGTTCATTTGGAGTCATCAATCACAAAAGGTAGCCACTGTACTGAAATCCATACTTAAAATTAACTAATTCATAAATTAAAGCTTGAAAAGCATGTTGGGCCTCTCCTATAAAAACTGACTCTAGATTTTCAAGATTTTGGATTGTTTGTATGCTGGAGCCTCTCATTAATGATAATGATTATAATGAAGGGTAACGATGATGTTTATGATGAGGAAGCCCACATTACAATAATGGTTTTGCTAATGAGGAGATTGATAATGATACGTAATAATGAGGAGGAAACATAATATGAATGATATTGTTAAAGACCATTAAAACAACAAAAGAAAAGCCAGTAAAAACCTTTAAAAAGAATAACTTTAAAATAAAATCATGTATTGTGTGACAATTATTATGACATACCTGGAATCTGTTTGATAGGACATCTTTCAGAACTTTCAGCTTATGCTCAGCGACTGGATTGGAGTCTAAGAAGTCGTCCTTGTATTCATCAGGAAGTGACTCTAGGAAATGTGTGTCTCGAATTGCAAACAGAGCTGAGAAAACAATCACCATGAATTCAATAAAAAAAAAAACAAAGTTTTGTATTCTTATAAAGCAAGATGGGTTTTTCCAAAGCATCTAGGCATCCAGTTATAAATATGCTTTAAAAAAAAATTTTAATTTCTTAAGGTCTGTGAAGTTCTGTCTACTTTATCTTCATTGCTGTATATCTTATCTTGGCTACAAGAACTAATTCATTCAGAAATTTTAGGAAAAGTAGCTAAACTTAACCAGGACTAAAAAATTTCATAATTCATTGCACACTAATTGGAATACTCACAATTAGGATTATCCTTCCTGTATGCACCATGGATAATCTCCATTTCTGTTACAGATAATCCACCGATCCACCTGTATTCAGATTTTACACTTTGAGGAACCTCACTGTCATTAGGTATCCAACCACAACGAGCACTGTACAGAAAAATTTAGTAAAAGTGATAAGAAAGAACAATGATTAAAAAAAACAAAAAACAAAAAAACAAATAAACCCTAACTTGATAATGTGACTTTATTACTTTAATTTTATAAGAACATTAAGTCATGGCCAGACTAATAATTCTATTTAAAAAAAACATATGAAAGCCTAAACTAAATATGGTCATGATGACATCACACCATGACCATATATAGGCACATCATGACAATATACAGTATTGTCAGTTTTTTTGTCAAACAAAATGCTATAGTCTGGACAGGGCATTAGAGAAGAGCAAAACCAAAATGAAAATTGTTTTTTTTTTTTTTAAGTAATTCTAACAACAGCATCCATGCAGGGGAGAAAATACCAGAATGAAAAATGATAAAATTATGATTTATGTAAGTTCATGATCTATTGATTGAATAAATGTATACTGTATTGAATTGAACTCTTGGGCCCTTGCACAAGGTCCTACGGTATGCTCATATAAAAGCAATGTTGCAATGTTCGAAGAGAGCAGCTAAGCTCAGTCGGCTCAGTCCAATTGTTGCTCTCCTTTTATTCGGCTGGAGGGCTGAAATGCAAGTTACGATTGCGCACCGTCTTTCTGATGAGACGTTTAAGCCGTCCTGTGTGCATTATGGCCCATGTGCATGTTAAAGAACGCAGTAAGTCTTCGGAAAAGAATAGGGAATTTTGTCTCCTGGCGTACTGCCCAATCACCACCAGAAGGACCCCACTGGAAATAAAGTCTTCTTCAGACTTTCGTGGGTTATTCTTGGTGTTCACACCAAATAAATCCATCCATCTATCCAGAAATATTTAATAACCTAGTTTTTTTTTAGCTGTACTAAACAAAGGTGCCACTCTGACTCACCATGTCATGTTCAGAAAAAAAGGCATGATGTTGTCCTGGTAACACCTGTCAATTTCACCAAGGCATGTGCGGAGCGTTTCTTCTGAGGTTGTGTCTTTTGGGACACCCTGTAGTTCATTAATTGCAACATAAAGATTCATTTGTTACTTAATATGTGTAGCGGTGTTTCCTAGTGGTAACGATTGGATTTTAAAAATTATATTTTTAGTATTAGTAATGTTGAAAAAATTAGGAGAAATTTGACTAAAGATTTATATGGTCAGCAATAGAAAAAAAAAATCACTTTTTTTATTGGTAGTGTCTGTTGTTACAACCAGTCTTAACAAATTCTGATGTGTAGTTAATTTCTTAATCCAATCCATACATAGGTCCGAGCGGTAATGCAGGGGCGCTGCTAACTACAGCATTAACATTGGCGCTAGTTCAAGGCGCTCCTTGCCGAGGGGTTCGGTTGGTAAAATGAAGTCCAGTGTATACATCTGGCTTGTGTGCACTTTAAAGAACCCATTGTATCTTTCGCAAAAGTAAGGGGTAATACCCCGATGCTATGGTTCATTTAGCCTCAGACATTGTGGAAAGATGTGAACATGTAGCTACATAACGCACTTCTTTACGGCTGCTAGGTAGTCACGGATAACGCCCATAACCAATATAAGCACAATGACGCTTCAAGTTATGGGTTATTCTTCTACCTTTTACCTTCACATATCATAACATCCACTAAAAATTAGGTATTTGTTTAAGACTGGTGTAAACAACAAAGAATCTCATCTAGCTTCGTCAATCTGATGTTAATTTTTTTTTGGCATTAAAATACTTATAAAATTTTTAAAATCCTAATTTTTAAGCATTTTGTTTGTACTTGAAGAAAAAGCACAATTTGTTATTTGTTTTTGGCTAAAAATAAGTAATGAAAGCAAAAACGTATTTCTGGGACTTTGAAAAAAGTGACTCTCACATAAGTAATAATCTAATCATTTTTTTTTAATGGAGGCTTCACTATATATAGATTGAAATGAATAGTTTACTTACCCATCGTAGATCACATTCAACAAGATGAAGTCTTCGCTTTTCACACCATTGTCTCAAATCAGGAAATACCTACCAAAATAAGCAATCTATCTTAGTTAATGGTAAACAATTGGTTTTAAACTTGTAGCTTCCACTCGGTTATATCAGTTGATCTCTCTACTGTAATCTTTTTAATTATTTTTTCTGACACATTTATCAAATAATTGTATATTTCTTAATCCAATCCATGTTTGTATGTTGCAGTAATTATTAATCCTTGATTAAATATTATCTTTTTACTTTTAAATTTTTTTTAATTTGAGTTATTTTTTTTCTAAAGTGTAATTTAATGTTTTATTCATTTCTGTGACCTTTTGTACGCTTGTACTTTATTGTTATATTTATACATTTAAAAAAAAATACCACCACAATTTAGCATTAATTAAATAACCCGTTTATCTATATCTATCTCAGACTAACAAAAAATCATTTTTATCTGTCCGTCATTAGAATTTAAAAAGTTATGTTTTCCTCTGAAATGCTATTTCTAAATTGAATAGTTTAGGGATTCTTTTTTAAATATTTGACAGAGGCACGAGGATATGTCACATAAAGTATAAGAAACACATTTCTAACATGCGCCATACATTAGCACTTTAAGTTTGAGTATCCTAATTCACTTGAATGCAGTCATTAGCATTTAGCATACCTCTTTAACCAGAACTTCTCTCTCTGCGTGGAAATCACGGAATGTTGACGACACAAAGATTCGGACAGTTTTCCATCCTGACCTCTTAATGACTGGTTTGTTACGGTGTCGCTTAATGTCGATAGTTTTGCGAGCACTCTCCCACTGCTGGGAAACATCATATTTGAAGTCAAAGTTGTTTGAGGCCCCGCATCCCATCGTCGGCGGCCCTGTTTTAACTTGTCTTTATTCAATGTGATAACCTGAAAGGAGTTTTTTTTAAATCATCATTATTGCTAATATTTTCTAAAATAATTATGTGATCACCATCATTTGTGGCAAAGACAAGCCAAACCAGTCACTCGTCGCAAAAATCGATTTTGAGTTATTAATACAGTGTTAGAGAGTAAAATAATAGCTATAATATGGTAAAAAAATCATTCAAATCGGACATTTCCTTATGAAGTTACAAGCATTTAACCACACAGCTGTTTAAAGAACAATATATGAGAAATCAGCCTTCAAAGTTTATGATTTCAGGCATTTCTCATGCAGAAACTATCTTTAAATCCTTAAAAACTATTGTTTTAACATTGAAAATAACAGCATAGAATGATGTGTAGATATATAAAGGTTAGTTTAATGCACTAAAATAGATTTTTAAAAATTTGACATTCCAGCATGTTTTGGCCATTTTCTCTGAAACACGATTTGCGACGAGTGACTGGTTTGGCTTGTCTTTGCCACATTTATTGATCATAACCATTGTCATCATTATTCATGCCAGACTCTGAAGTAGGGTCTGCGCAGATATCCTCTGTGCAAAAATTTGGCCTAGAAATCCGTCTATGCAAGGGTCGATTTCTGAGCAAATTTTGCCAAAAACTAGGCATTTGACTTGATAACAAACAATGTATTATGCAGTAATTATAAAAGCTACTTTTGCAGGGATTTTTAGGGGCTTTTGAGGTATCTACGCAATTAAAAAACTTGCATTATGGTATTTATTGTCTATTATTATTATTGATTACATTATTGAACAAGGAATAACTAAACTTTACAGACAGACAATACAATACCAGTGCACTTACACTCTACGTACAGAGAAACATATTTTGTGCCCTACAGGCCTAGGGATCTGGTCACTTCGGCCCAAAACCAAATCGGCCCAAACCAAATCGGCCCAAACCAAATCGGCCCAAACCAATTCGGCCCAAACCAACTCGGCCCCAAACCAACTTGAACCAAAACCAACTCGGCCCGGACAACAACTGTATTAGTAAACTGTTTATTTCAGATTGGCAACACTCAATATGTTTTTCGATGTACATAGTACCTTGCAAAAACTGACAATAAAATTCAACTATTCATTTCACAACAAAGCTTTCACAACTATTTTAACCTGCCATCTTCAATAAAATCAATATCGTATATAGATATCTAAAAAAATATTTACCAGAAATAACACTTAGTGCACCTGTTTAATTCCAAATTGTTAGATTTATTGAAAAAAAAAACAAAAAACAAAAACAAAAACAAAAACAAAACGCCTGCTGGGACAGCCAGCCCAAAATAACAGTAGGCACTACCGTATTCTGTACTTTAAAACTTTTCTGTCATGAATTGGAAAAAAAAAACTTTGTATGTAGCCAGTTTCAATTACATGTACCTGAATAAATCCGTACATTTGTGTAATTTGTTTTGCTTTATATTTATACAAATACATTATTTTATAAAGGTATGCTAAGATTCTTAGTGGGACTAATAATAATCCAGATAATACAAATAATAAATAATAAGTAATAAGAATAGTAATAGGCCTAATGAAAAATAATATTAGGCCTATATATGATATTAATTATTATAATAATATTACTGATAGTAATTGTTATTGTCGTGATGGAATAACAGACAATAACTGGATTTGCATCAGGAGAAACATGTATAGGTGTAATTTTGCCCTACCTGACGTGGAAATGTACCGAATACTCAGCAAAACAACTGCGAAAAAAATCACAAGTTGTTCTCGGGTGGGACTGAGTATTCGGTACATTTCCACATCAGGTAGGGCAAAATTACACCTATAAATAATATTACTAAAATAATAATAAGAATAAATATAATATAATAATTATTAAATATATAATTTGCATAATATAAAAATGAATAATATGAATAGTTATACTAAAAAATAATAATAATAATTAGACCTCTAAATAATATTAAATAATTATAAATAATAATACTAAAATATGAATTAAGAGACGCTTACAATATAATTTCAAAACAAAATTTAATGACAAGAAAGACGTTTCGAGTCCATCATGGAACCATTCTCAAGATCAAGTAAATTGAAAACTAAAAACAAAAATACCAAGCAGTGACAGGAAGTAAGTAATTAATTAACATATCAATAGGGCCTAGTGTGTGGAGCCATAGTGAAGCTAAGCAATAATTAGCCCTTCTTAGCAGATTTATCTAGTTAACCTGCTAAGAGTAAGAAGGGCTAATTATTGCTTGCTCCACTATGGCTCCACATAGTAGGCCCTATTGATATAATTTTGTTTTGAAAATACTAAAATAATAATAATAATTGTCATCTGGGTAATGGGTTATCGCGATTGTTATTCATCTGGGTAATTCCATATCGTTTGGGTAGTTAGTTGTGTCTTCTGGGCCGAGCTGGTTTTGGTCCGAGTTGGTTTGGGGCCAAATTGGTTTGGGGCCTAAGTGTCGTCTGGGGCCCAACTGTTTTGGGGTGATTTGGTTTTGGGCCGAAGTGACATGCTACCAATGGCATTGGCTTGACCTACCTATCTACCTAGAGCCTGGGCTAGTGATTATATAGGCAAGCTAGCCTAGCTGAAAAGGCCTGCAGCAGCTTACCTAAACTAAAAGTAGGCCCTAGGCCTATATTAGCTAGGGGCTAGGTAGGCTCTACCTAGCTGGACACCTTGAAAAAAGACTAGGCCTCTCTAGGAGGGAAGCCTGGGCCTAGCCTAGGCTTAGGCCTAGCCTTGGCCAGCTAGGGAATCAGGCACAGGCCTAATAAGGCTTACCTAGCATCCTAGCTAAGGCTCCTGACCTACCTAGCTAGCTAGGCCTAGAGGATTAATCATCCTTTACCATTTAACATTCTTACCTTAGAGTAACTATACAATACAAACAATAAACACAAATGACTAACAGCTCTATAAGACTAATGTACTGTACTATGATTTGTTACCTTAGCAACTTCGTACACACAATTCAATACATCTCACTGATCGATTTTTTGTCAACAATAGGATCGGACACGATGGCTAGAGTGTGACCAGCGATGCGAATCAATTTATGCCAAAGGGGCTGATGGTGGAATGCCAAATTTTAGAATTTCAATAAGCGCTTTCCCGGGGCGCCTCCATGCTTAGGCCAAATAAAAAATATTAATTGTTTAGCGTTACATCACAACACAATTTTAGGTGGAGATAATTTTTTAAATTTTTTTTTTACCAATGTCCCTAATGAAGCTTCGTAGTACTACAAGTATAGGCCAATTTTTTTTTTTTTTTTTTTTTTTTTTTTTTTTTGCTCAGATAGCTTTCCAAACTTCTGAGGTGTCTTTTAATGCCAGTGACTTTTAAGTTCTTTAAATTTTAACGGTCAGGTAAACTTCTCATTCTTATTATTGTGAATAGCCTATGTACAGTACATAACAAGAATTGAGTCGCTGCATACATTCTTTTTTCAATAAATCGATGAACCCCAAATATAACGGGGGTCGGGGGTCGGGGTCCTCCCCTGGAAAAGTTTTCTTAGATGGCGAGAAATGAGTTTTCCGGACTCCTGAAGTGTCTTTCAATCGAAATTCAAGGTTTTCCCCTTTTGTAAACGGTCAGGTAATTTTTTTCTCATTCTTATTACAGTAAATAGGCCTAGGCCCCTATGTTTGTACCGGTAAACAGAGAATTTTTCCCAGGGGCGGTCAGGACCCAGGACCCCCTGCAATGCATAATTAATGTATTGAATCCCGACACAGGGTATTCCATCTAGAAATCGAAATTTTCCCGGGGAAACCCGGAACCGGGAGCCCCTGGGTTCATCAATTCATGGAATCGTTTTCAAGAGGGAACCCTTGAATTTTGAAGATCTCAAAGTTATTAGCCTAAAAGACAGGAATGATTTCCGCCATCTAGGAATCGAAATTTTCACAGGGAGGGAGAACCCCGGATCCCTCCCTTTCTCTTTCGGTTTGTCGGTTCATCGGAAAAAAAAGAATCGAATGCCTAAGTCAACGGCGTGCATTTCGATACTTGGAGTATGTAATACTCTAATTTTATATTTCTAAAGATTGTTTGGAGTAGGCCTATATGATCTCTTCCCATGCTAGCTTACATTTTCTGGGTTCCCCGAAGCCAAAATCTCAAAAATTGATAACAAACTTGTTTTTCGAAATTACGACAGACTGAGTAGATTACTTTTTAAAATGTACAAATTTAAGATTTTATTTTTAAATCACAAAATTTTTTATTCAGTATATTTTCGACTGTCATGTGTACCTTACCAAATTTGGTTGGGTGCGTAGGCCCTACGCACCCCATCGCACCACCCCACCCACTGGCGGGGCTTGAAACTCTTTACTTGCCAATTAATCTGGTATCTCATTTTGTTGGGTTTTAGGCCTAATGAACATTTTTTTTGTGGGCAGTTTGAAATTTAATTTGTTCCTAGGACAAAATTATGCTAAATTTGCCAAATGCCTAGCAAGCAAAACCTATGCTAGATACTAAAGGGGTTTAAATTATGCCAAAAAGCATAATGGCAAGCTGAGTGTGGACACTGGATTGATGCTAGTACGGTACTATAGATCATTGAAATTGCTTACTATAGATCAGAGACTTAAATACCATAGCATTATTTTTTATCGTAAAGTGTCTTTATAATTTTAATGATTTTAACATCTTTGATTTTATTGAGATTATAACGGTCATCTCGAAACCGTAATTTTTAAACATATTGCTAGGACAAATTCTTAGAACTCGCTTTTTTATCAATTTTCCTCGTTTGTGGGAATCAATCTCCCCTGAAATAAGAATGCTTAATCTAGATAGTTTTAATTCTTTTTAAAAAAAATCATTTTATAATTCTACATGTTGTGTAAATTGTTTTACTGGAATCTTATAATGTAAATTTTCGATTGCAGTTTAGTCTATTGCTGATCTGTGTGTATATTTTTATGTTTTGAAGATGTTTAGTATAGGAGAGCCACTTGATAATGCTGGTGCACTTTTGGCAATACTCAGGTAATGAACATCTTGTTTGCTGTATGTTTTGTCTTGTTCTGCTTTTACCTTGATATTTAATAAATGAAATATATGAAATGAAAGAAACCAAACCAACCGCACCGTCAGCATTGTAACCTAGCGGAATGTGCTATTGATTAATGTGGTGGCGTCGTTCATGTTTGTCGATGCTCGAGCGAATTAGCAAAGATAATATCAAAACATCTTCATATAGAAATGTTCATAAGAATGAACGCCTTTTCCCAAGCCTGTTTTGCAAATGCTTTACAAAACTTATCAAATATAGTGTTAACATCCTTATTGAAAGAGTAATAATCACTCCCAAGCATAATATTAAGTTTAACATGAATATTCGCATTAGAAAATATCCCGGAAAGATGGTAGTTAGTTGAAGAGGGTACATTTTAATCTGGCAAATTCGTTGGATCTAATGTCATTGAACGCAGTACATTCAAATAAGAAGTGCCTGATATTTTCTTGGCAATTGTCATCACAAATATTACATATATACCACTACTTCCAGGCGTCCAGCTACAAATCCTACCCTCGAGGGGGAGTGTATTGAGCGCAATTTAAACTTAATGTTTACGCCCTCAAAATCTGTACTGTCTAACAAGTAACTCTCTAGAGTTGGGATGTCTTTAAAGTGGTGTATATCAATGAGCGAAGACTTATACCCATTTCTTCATTCCAACTATGAACCGAGGCTTCACTAAGAGCTCGCTTGATAGCGAAAGTCCAATGTGGATTAGGATGTCTTTGGCCTTATGGATATGATCAAATATATCCTTTGCCTTTATGAAAAATAGTTTCTACACAACTTAAAAATCTATAACTAAAGTCCCTAAAATTGCAATTAAAGCCAATCATCGCCGAGTTAAGTAGAAGCCTGGCCAACGACTTAGATCCATTTTTAGGACTCGATCTAAATAATTAATTTTTAAATTATTATGGATGTCAGATATAGGTGTCCAACCAAGATCACCATATAAAGCCTATTAGAATCATTACAATTGTCAATTATAGATTTAATGTAAGCAATAAGGCGTATACCTTTCTTAACAACATTTTCAAAATGAAGGTGGTCACTAATTAAGTTTCGTGATATTTGTCCCCCCCCCCCCCCCCAACTAGATGTCATTAATTCTACCCCGTCCGCGCAGCGGCGCTATATATCAATAATAAAGGCGCCGCTCAGGTTTGGTTGTTTCCTGTAGTTTCTCCACTTAGTCTAATGGTCAAATTTTACCCCATTCGCGGGAGGGCGGATGTTCCATCAATTTTAATGCAAAATACGCGAAATAGATCATTCTTCTTCGATACCATTAGCAATAGTTCAAGTTTCCTAGCGAATGGCAGCTCGAGAATTGTGTGTACGAAGTTGCTAAGGTGACAAAAATTATAATAATAATCCATTTTTATATATGGCAGTTGTAGTACAAACTACGTGTGCAAAAGTGCATTAGCGCCCATCGTCATTATCGTGGTGTAATTACTGTAAGTTCAGTTTGTTGTTTTTATTATGATTATTACGTTAGGCGTTTGGCTCTGGTTAAAAGCTCTAGGCTTGCCTTTAATATCAGGCGTTGGTCTGGCCTAGGCTAGGTAGCCTAGGCCTAGGTAGGCCTATATTATTATTATTGTGGGGAGGCTAGGCCTGGGCCTAGTAGTAGCAGTAGCGTTTTGCTAGGCCTCTCTTATAAGGCCACAAACAGCTTTTGACTTCAATTAAAATATGAAGACAAAGAATCACATCATCAGCAAAAAAATAAAATAAAGAAATAAAAATCAAATTTAAAGGACAGCAATTATATTACAGAATTTATTTGCATTCAGGTAATACATAAACAATGTAAAGGTTTTTTAATTATGCAGATGATTGATATCTCAAAAACCAGCTCAAAAGCACAGAAAATTGCTAGGAATAATATTATATTACTGGCGAGTTTGTATTTAAAATTATGAAGAAAGAATTGTTGGAATGTTAAACTCAAAGTAAATTCAAAGTAAAGAGATAAAATATGTTTATGTCAAGGATTCATAATTAATGCAATTATTAAAATATATTTGATAAATGTGTCAGAAAAAAATGTATTTAAAAGGTCACAGTACAGAGATCAACCGATATTTATATTGAGTGGTAACTACAAGTTTGCACAATTTAAACCAATTGTTTACCATTATACTCATATTATAACAAACAGAGATTGCTTATTTTGGTATGTATTTTCTGATTTTGAGGCAATGGTGTGAAAAGCGAAGACTTCATCTGCGATGGGTGAGTAAACTATTCATTTGAATCTAAATGTAATGTAAAACCTCCATTTAAAAAAGAAATATTAGATTATTACAGTACTTTTTTTTTCTTTTTTTTTTAAATCACTTATTGTGAGAGTCACTTTTGAAATGCCTAGCAGGCCTAATTTTTAATTAGGTAAGCAATTTGCTACATATGGCCTAATAGATCAAGCTTTAGTTCCTCTATCATTCATACGACTCAGAATATGTTACACTGAGTGGTATTGTCTGTGAAGTATAGTAAACTACCATCCTAGGCCTGTGGTTGCCTTAACAGTATTAATGTATGACTTTACAACTCCATTCTTTGTTAATTTCAATAATGTAATCATCAATAATATTTAATATATGCCACCATATTTGACCTCAAAAGATTTGAATAAATGATGAATTTCATTTAAATTATTCATGTGACATAAATCTCAGTCTCCGATAGAGCTATTCAGTAGTCTGCTAAGAGATAATAAATATCTTGGTAACAGTAATGGTGATATTAATAATGATAACATTGAAAATAGTAATGATTATGATACAATATTATCAATAAATGATGCTCATCACATTGATAATTATTTTTGGAAAATATTAGCGATAATCCAGGTTATCGCATAAAATAGAAACAATTCAAAAACAGGACCACCAACGATGGGATGCGGGGCGTCAAACAACTTTGACTTCAAATATGATGTTTCCCAGCAGTGGGAGAGTGCCCGCAAAACCATCGACATTAAGCGACATCGTAACAAACCAGTCATTAAGCGGTCAGGATGGAAAACTGTCCGAATCTTTGTTTCGTCAACATTCCGTGATTTCCACGCAGAGAGAGAAGTTCTGGTTAAGGAGGTATGCTGAATATATCCTCTATTTTAAGATATGCTAATAACTGTCACAGTATTCAATTAAATGATAATATAATACAAAATAATAATTTTAAAAGGTTACAGTACAGATAACAACTGATATAATTGAGTGGTAGCTACAAGTTTGCACAATTGAAACCATTTGTTTACTAACAACGATAAATTGCTTACTGTATTTTGGTAGGTATTTCCTGATTTGAGGCAATGGTGTGAAAAGCGAAGACTTCATCTCGTTGAGTGTGATCTGCGATGGGTAAGTAAGCCATTCATTTAAATGAAAATTATAAATATTTTTTTGCTTTCATTACTTATTTTTAGCTGTTTGGCATTTGAAAAACATGTAACAGTAACAAAAACAGTTTTTTTTATTATATTGGTACTTAACAAAATACTTAAAAAGTAGATTTTTAAAAATTGCTGTGTTTTATGCTTAGTTAATAAGTGTTTTTTTACCAATATTAAATGAACATTAGATTGACTAAGCCAAGTGAGATTCTTTGAGAATTTTTCTTCGTTGTTTATTACTATTTTAAAAGGCAGTGGCTATTGTTAGACCAGTCTTCTGATTGGATGTTATCGTACAATAACTATACATTGTCAAAAAGACTGGTGTATAAATAGATACTGCCAATAAAAAAAGTTTTTGACTCAGATTTGGTTTAGTAAATCTTTTTACAAAGATATAATATAATATTGAGATATGCATATTTATCATTAATAATACTAAAAAAGTATATTAATTTAGACAGCAAATCGTTACCTTTTTGGAAACCGTGCTATAAATAATAGTAACAAATGAATCTTTATGTTTCCGTTCATGAACTGCAGGGTGTCCCAAAAGACACAACCTCAGAAGAAACGCTCCGCACATGCCTTGGTGAAATTGACAGGTGTTACCAAGACAACATCATGCCTTTTTTTCTGAACATGACATGGTGAGTCAGAGTGGCAGAGTACAGCTAAAAAAACTGGGTTATGTATTAAATATCTCTATAATACAAGACAATTACAAACATTGCTTTTTTATGAACATGCAATGGGTTCTCAAGCAATGCTCAAAGATTTCCCTTATACTTTCATATTTTCCTCATACACTCTCATTTTTCATTTGGCAATAAAATATTCATTTTCTCCCCTGTATGGATGCTGGTTGTAAAACTATTTTGCAAAAAAAGAGTAACTTTCATTCTCTCTTTGCCCTTCTCTAAAGCTGGGCACTCTCTGCACTTGATACAATTTTATGAAGAACGCAACAGCACAACACGCAACGCCACGACGCGCACACAACGACACATCGTGGCTGCCCCCCCCCCCCATCGGGGAGAAAAAGCACTATTTGTCAGGGAGAAAAACATACATAATAGTACTCTAAAATCGATTAAATAAGCCTTTGAAACCCCTAAATTGTCAACATTTTCGGGGGCTTCGCACCCAGGACCACTTTTGAAGCCTTTTAATCGAAGCTCGACCACACCCACTTTGCTTTCGTCGGGAAAATCTGACCCTTCGTCGGGGGATTCGGTTCCCCGTAAGGGACCTGGGCCCCGGCCCCCCCCCTCCGTCAGGCAAATCCTGGCACCACCCCTGGTGGCTTATCTGAAGTCAGGCTGTGTTCCTATAGTAACTAGGCCTGGCACACCACCATGTTTAACTTTTCTAAGGCGGGCTTTAATCGTTGTGGGGGGTCTTGCTTTGACTTCGGGTGATAAAATGACCAATCAGCATTCAATTACATATGCTGTGAGCGAGCATACGTTTCACGAGCAATGTTTTGAAACACGTTTCCTGGTTACAGTTCATTATTCTGCAAATTCTGGCCTGGCTAATCCCGCTAGTCTGAAAGCCCGGCAAAGTTAAGTCAGACTTAACGTTGAGCCAGGTTTAACTCAAGCCTGGCTTATCTCCAAATCTGAACGTAGCCATACAAACGAACAAAGAACTCTCACATTATCAGGTTTTAGTTTATTTGGGTTTTTTTTAATCATTGTTGTTCTTACCACTTTTACTATATCTTTCTGTACAGTGCTCGTTGTGGTTGGATACCGAATGACAGTGAAGTGCCTCAAAGTGTAAAATCTGAATACAGGTGGATCCATGGATTATCCGTAACAGAAATGGAGATTATCCATGGTGCATACAGGAAGGATAATCCTAATTGTGAGTACCCCAATGAGTGTGCAATGAATTATAGAATCTTTTGAGTCCTCTGGTTAAGTTCACCTACTCTTGCTCAAATTCCTGAATTAATTATTTTTGGTAGCCAAGATAAAATATACAGCAATGAAGGTGAAGTAGACAGAGCGTCATCAAGCTTTTATTGTCAGATGTTTAGACCACCAAAAGTCAAATAAACAACAACTTTTTAAGGATTGTTTGTTGCATCATAAAAATAAACAATATATATTTGCAAAGATCTTGGCCCCATGTTCCTAATAATAATAATAATAATAATAATAATAATAATAATAATAATAATAATACCTTTTCTAAATGTAGGCAATATCTGAATATGTAACATAAAAGGTTACATTGAATTCATGATGATTGTTTTTGCAGCTCTGTTTGCAATTCGAGACACAAACTTCCTAGACTCACTTCCTAATCAATACAAAGATGACTTCTTAGACTCCAATCCAGTCGCTGAGCATAAGCTGAAAGTTCTGAAAGATGTCCTATCAAACAGATTCCAGGTATAATAATTGTCACACAATATATGATTTTATTATAAGGTCATTCTTTTTTAATGGCTTTTACTGGGTTTTCTTTGTTTTATCAATAACATTCATATTATGCTTCCTCCTCATCAACAACCTCCTCATTATCAACATCATTATTATCATGTGGGCTTGAGTTCCTCATCATAAACATCATCATAACCCTCCATTATATTCATTATCATTAATGACAGTCTCCAGCATAAACAAAATCTTGAAAATCTATCGTAACCTTTTATAGGAGCCCAAATTGGTCATAGGTCCAAAGTGAATTTTTGATTCAACACCAAAAAAGATTGAAGGTCACTAACAATTTCTGTGAACATAAAATAACCAGACAACAACAGCACACACATCACCACATTGTACAGAGAATTTGAGATGCATAGTGTGTTTTTTGTATTTCAGGCTGACCATGTGTTTACTTACAACTGCAGCTATGGTGGAGTCGATGCTGACACTGGCAAAGTTAGTCTTGATGGTCTCCATGGCGAATTCACAAACAAGGTGAAACTTTAAAAGTTTTTTTCATGGTCTAATGAATAGCCCTAATTTTTCTTCCAATTAAAGTTTCTAAATTTTTGTTGTTAAAGTGACAATTGTTTTTAAATTCAGACTCCAATTTTTGTTTGTCTATATAAACATTTTTTGTCAACAATGTGTGTGATATAAATAATGTGAAACCTCAAATAAGAGTTTTATGGACTTAATCTCGAGAAGGAGCCCATCTCGTAATGAAGTCCTGTGCTGCGATTTTTTTTATTTTTATAGTTGAAAAATATTTTCAATAGTCCTATTGTTTTATAGTAGTAATTCCCAAAATGTACAGCAAAAGTAGTCTTGAAAAAATAGCCCATCTGGAAAATAGCCCATCTAACAGTCCTAAAAAGTAATCCAGGCCTTCTGTTCAAGTTTTTACATTTTTAATGTTGTGGATGTTGTTATGCTGTGTGAGTCAGATAATACTATATTCTTTAGCAGAACCAGAGTGGAGCCTAGGGAAAAAAATGATTCTACACACTCCCCTACCCACACAATACCCCTACCTCTGCAAAACTCAGTCACACTTTTCCCAGGCGAGTCGAATGGCCGAGCAGTTAGCAGGGGCGCCGCAAGTTATAGCCATAATATCGGCGTTGGTTCGAACGGCACGCTCGCCTATGGTTCTGGTGGTAGAACAAGTCTTCTCGGATAAGGACTATAAACCGTAGGCCCAGTGTATACAATGGTAGGGGGATACCCCGGTGTACTGAAACAGACAGCCCCGTGGTGGACGACGAGAGTTGCTGGTACCGGGTTACTGGGTAGCACAGGCACGAAGGGACCCTTAGGGGCGAAAAAGTCATTGATCGAGTTCCTAGACCACATATCAAGCACCCTGAGAATCTTACATTAGATGGATATGTGCGCTATATAAAACTACACTATTATTATTATTATTATTATTATTATTATTATTATTATTATTATTATTATTATAGTGTTACGACCTTATACAAAAATTTATCTATGGAATTTTACAACTCTATTCTGTCTTCTTCTTAAATTTCACTTTTCACTGTTTTGTTTTTTTTTTATTTTCACTCTTATTATCTGTTGTATGTAATAAATCTATTTCTTTTGTAATCTTTGTTGCTGGTCTACAAGTAGATGTCAAATCCGAAGCCATGTCTTAAAGATTTCTCCCATGTGGTATGTTTTGTCTTCATTTAAAGCATGGATTGCACATGTGCACCCTCAGTGAATGTTTACAATAGAGGTTTCATGTACCAAATTCTATGATATGAGTCACTTTTGCATGTACATATTTGTATGTTTTTATTTTATTTTTATTTTCATTCTCATTCAAATGTTAATATTAGATTTTTATACTAATTTTGCATATTTTGAATTGTTATCACTTCATATCTGATCCATTTTTTTTATTTCAATAGATTTATTATCATTGAATAGTTTCAAAAGTTTCAAATGCATGACATTTCATTTATTGGGTTTTGTGATAATATTTCAATTAATTTTTTATGTGATTATTGCAATGCAAACATGACTTAGTAATACCAATTTATAAGATCCTTAGAATAATTTTGACTGCATATGGTGTCTATCAATATAATAAATAATTTGTGTCACAAATAACATAAAGAAAATTGTATTTCTTATTTGTCAAAGGTCTTCAAATTTTTTCAAGAGAGGATCGCAGAACAGTATCCATTGTTCGAAGGTAAACTAGATGTGTTCGAGCAAGAGAAGGAGGCTCACGAATCGTTCATGAAGAGCAGATGCACTGTTGTCCTCGGTAGAAATGAGATTTTAGATAAAGTGAGTTTGTCTACCGCAACTCTAGCTATTTCGTCATCGTTTTCACGATGAGACACAAACTTAATGTTTGACCAAAACAAGGTTTTAAGAAATTGTGTTTGAAGTGGACTGCTTCACAAATCCGTAAATTACACTATCAAGATATCAAAATTTTCAATATTTTTTTACATATATTTAAAGATAAAGCATTAAACAATTCAAAGCGTGAAAAGTTTGTGTCTGTTCGTGATAGAAATAAACCCAGCATTTGTTGTTTACATGTACAGCAAAGTTTGTGTCTCTTTGTGAAAACAAAAATCTCATTTTATGTTTTGTATCTGCTCCGTTGTCAGACACAAACTGTATTTTAGCCTATGCTTTTCCATTGTAGTCAAGGATGATAGGCCTACAAACTAGGTTTATCCTGCTTAAACCATTATGTAATACTAGTAATTCCACATTTGATGCATGTGTATAGGCCTATTCCAAGTTATACTGCAAGTAAGGTACTGCTATGCCTCGGAAAGTTAGGGAATTTAATCTTTACATCTAGCCCTACCCTAGCCAGGCCTTATCTAGCCGATCACAAGGATTGGAGCACCGCATGCGCGTCTTCTGATAACCCACTGAAATAAATTTTTCTCAGTTGTCAAGTTTTCATTTCATTGACAAGACAATTTTTATTGGACTAGGAGACAGCCTATCTATGTGCTTTGTTTTGTTCGTAGATTGCAAACTATGTGACAGACTTGGGCACTGGCATGCCATTGATCTTAACCGGTGGACCAGGCTCCGGCAAGTCATCCATAATGGCCAAAGCAGCTGATGTCGCCTCACATAAGGCCAGTAGTGGAGAAATTCCAGGGTAGGTTTTTCACCTAAAAAATTATGTAACCCCATAAGATAACAAAACTTTGAATTCAGTGGCATATCTAGGCATCTTGATATGGAGTGGCTGATGGGAGGGGGACGTGAAGGCGGGAAGGCTCCATGATTAGGTGAATTGTGCTTAGCTCGCACAATAAGGTGATCAGAGGTTTAGGCACTACTTGAGCTTGATGTATTGTAGGATGTCAAGGCTCACGCATTCGGCATGCGACTCTCTCACGCTTAAGGTTGCGCATATATGTAATATTGCCAATGTAAAAAATATATTAATAATTTCTAGCTCTCTAGCTAAATATTCATCAACTACTGTACTTAAAGTAGGATTGGTTTTGCTGTTATACATTCAAACACAAATCAATGATGCACTACACCAAGGTTAAGTTGGTTTGGATTCAAATTTCGATCGTGGATGGCAGAAATATGCATTCTCAAGAAAAAATGTATGATTCTTAACAGATATTCAGTTGTAAATACAACCATAAAGTTGCAAAGAATGCATTTCCAGGTATCTAGGATGGAAAAAACATTTGGGGGTGGGGGAGAATGTCCCGGACACCCCCCCCCCCAACCATGGGGAGAGGTTTTTAGAGCAAAATTTCCACGCCTGCAAGTTAGTCAAACTTTACACGTATAAACAAGCACTACCAAGCTGTTCAACTGCAGTGTAATTGGCTATGAATTTTTAATACTTAAGCTATTGTTAAGGTTGCTTACTGGTTTTTTTCAACTTAGAGGAGGTGATATTGGTTGGCATGTCTTCTACCATTTTGTCGGTGCCATTCCAGGATCTACGGATCAAGAGATGATTTTGAAGCGACTCCTTAAGGAATTGAAGATTTGTAATGTAAGTCAAATGGACCAATCACAGAGTGCTCTGCTTTTATACAGATATTTTGGTTCATGTTATATAACATATTTGCATTTTATATATACAGTGTATTCATTGCATAATTATATGCATAAGGTTGGACAATGTTATTAAATCAAGGACTTTTAAAAGTTCTTGATAAAATTATAATAGCCAAATATTTTTGTTTTTTATCAATATTATTACAATTTTGTCTGGTGTCAGATTTTTATTTGTATGAAAAATTACATTTAGGAGATGTAAAAGCAATACATTATCACATTCAATACATAAAAATATAATAGTTTTTAAATTCACCAAAAATATAATCTATGTATTGATTAGTTTTTGTTAAGATTAATAACTACTAGGCTTGATAAATTTTACTCTAGTTTTGTTGTTTTTTGACTGTTCACAGGATTCCAATATGCCCAAGGACTATGAGGGCGCAGCTCTGCTTGTTGCTGGGGTATTGTCCAATCCCAACTCTAAGCCTGTTATAATGTTTGTTGATGCCCTCAATCAGGTAATTCATGAATAATTCAAGATAATTGTGTAAAGTTCCATTAATTATCCCATGGCTAATAGTTTTGAAAAATTTCTAATTTTGTAGGTTGATGAAGAGAAAGGTCATGGAGCGCTAAGTTGGTTACCACGGGAACTTGCTCCACAAGTTCGCTGCATCTTCTCAATGATAAATGACACACCACCACATGTAACGCTGTTAGCACGACCTCACGGACCATTAGAAGTTCCAGTTACACCGCTAGATGTACCATCCAGAAAGGTGAGCCTATCCTTAGTGTGTTGTACTGTATGTTGTTTTACAAACAATGGACTATTCCACTGAGCCCTGCACCTTGGATATTGTAGCTAAAGTCCCACAAAACAATAGCATAAATGTACATAAACACATGTGTTTGTGGGACAGCACATTTGTTGGTTGGACATGCACATATTCCAGGCACTTCTATGATTGGTCAGTTGTTAAGTTTGATTGACAGTCCAGTCTGTTATATATTTATATTTTATTAATTTCACTCAAATATACACAGTTGAGTACATTTCAGAGTGTACACATAAAACAAGAGGACACATACCTGTCTTTATTTGTGGTGTTGTCATGCTTCTTCACAAACTAGTTTTTGTTCATATTTTTCAGTGCAGAACTTTAATTTTTACAGGAAATTGTTTTAGAGATTTTAAGCAACTATCACAAGAAACTTGACCTCGAGCAGATGACCTGTCTTCTATCTAAGGAATCGTCAAAGAACCCACTTTGGTTAGCGATTGCATGCGAGGAGCTACGTGTCTTTGGTGACTTTAGCCGAGTCACAGAAAAGATCAAGTCACTTGCAGATGATTTACTTGAGTAAGTTAAGAAGCTGATTTTAATATTTTTTTTCCTTTTAAGGGGTCAAAAAGACCATATTTTTTGTAAAATGTTGTGTGGGCAATCATACATGAACCTTGTAACCTGTGCTTTATGCTTCAGTTTTTTTCTTAGTCAGTGGCAGATTCAAGTGACGAGTAAGCCATCCTGTGGCCCCCTAACTTTTTCAAAATAAAATATAAGGAGAAAAAAAAGAAAATTATATTCTAATTTAAGTCTGAGAGTGCTATTTCCGAGGCTAAGGTTGTCTAGACTGTCCGCCTCTGAAGGACCCACCCTGGGCCTCTTCTATTTCAAATTCCTGGATCCGCCATTGTTAGTTGTGCTAATACTAATACTTCATACTTAAGTATTCGTTATAGACAAAGAAAAACAATTTTTATATAATATTCTATAGAGTATAATTAAATAAAACTTACAACTAATATTTTGTCAGGGTTTGTTGGAAAATTATTATTGCTTTACTTAGTTTACTGGGACAAGTGCTTACACGATTTGAACAAGAGAATGGTGGAACTCTGATGATAGCGACCCTCTGCCTTCTGGAAACTTCTTCACATGGACTTCTGGAAACAGAACTTTTATCAGTACTTGGAGGAGATGTATCACTACTCACTCCATCTGAGGAGAACTTTACCAAATTGAAAAAAGGTAAATCTTTTAATATTATTAATTGGCTAAATTTGTATTTCTCTATATAGATTTTGTCATAATTACCATAAACCCATATTAATTTCATCACTAAAATACTGTATTGTTTAATATAATATAGTATTTAAAATTGTGTGAGACTATATTATCTTCATCATTTAATTATTATTTAACATTCAGCGTCAGCATTACTTTTCTATATATCTGTATTTATGACAATTAAAGAATTGTTATCATCATTATCAATGTCATCATCATCGTCATTAGTATCATCGTCATCATCATCATCATCATCATCATCATCATCATCATCATCAGTAACAACATCATTATCACACTCATCAACACCAACATTCATGTTGTTATATTTTTCACATGTCTACAGAAGCAGACAGTGATGATCAACCAATTAGAAGCCAGCCACTATCTGCTGCTAAGTGGGCCGCTGTGTACCGTGCATTACGTACCTTCCTTAGACCATTTGGGGACAGCGGTGAGGGCAGGCTTGACTTCTACCATCGCTCACTCAGTAAGGCTGTGAGGAAAAAGTAGGTACAGTGACATAATCAGCATTATCAACATCATCATCCTAATCATTATCATCATTATTGCCATCATCAGCTTTATCAGCTGTCATGGTGAGACCATGGTGTTTTAACACTAATAGCATCACATTCTTGTAGCTGATGAGCCAATCATCATTGATTGTGAAAGATGTTTATTCATTTTATTGCAGATATTTTCACGCACAAGATGGATCTGAAAGAGAGGATGTGTATGCATTTTGGCATATGGTGCTCGCAAACTTTTTTGAGAATGAGCAGAATGTTGACCGCAAAGTAGAGGTAAGAAAAGTTTTTGCTTATATTTTATAATATATTGACTTCAGTGGACCTTTTTACTAAGACCTGTCTCTTGGATTTTGCTGAAGTCACTACAATACGACAGCATAAAGGTATGCAAACACATGTGTTTGTGGAACAAGTATGTTTTCCTGGACCTGTTCTGATTGGCCAGATATTAAGTTTAAATGACTCTGAAAAATTGAATTTAATTGATTTAGCTAGCAATTTTAAAATGGACACACAATACACAATATAGCATATTTGAGCAGACTTTGGACTTTAGATGTTTGCTCTCTCAACAGTTATAATTAGGGATGAATCTGTAAGTATGATATCAAGTGAAAGAACTACTTTAACAATTACTCAGAATTTGACAAACACTGTAATATTATTAAATATTTTTTTTTTTTTTTTTTTTTATCTGCAGGAGTACCCTTACCACCTGGTCAAAGTAAATGATACGGATCGCTTGGCTAAGTGTTTGACTGAATGGCCTGTCTTTGACCATTTGTTCAATGAATATTACAGTTCCCAACTTCTGTTATACTGGCGTAAGGTAGGTTATTATTAAGTTTACTAAAAGGAAGTGGGTCAGGCGAATGGGCTTAGGAATCTTGTCACTAATTTTTTTATTGACAAAGGAAACTGGTTGACCATAGGAAAGTAGTATAATAGCGAAGGGAAACTGGTTCAGAGACCCACACAACTGACTGGGCAAAGAAAGCTGCTCTATCAAATGGACAAGATTTACTAGACACCAAGTGGACATGGGGATCTACCAAGAAGGGGAGAAAAATTAGCATCCAGAAGGACAAAGAGCTACTGAGGAACACAGTTAATTCATCTCAAATCATCGTTCTGTAGTGTTGAGGTGGAAAGAGTAGGCAAAACTAAATTGATAAGGAATGAACTTGTGTTTTCAAAATTCGCAGTGAACCTGGAAAAGGTGTAATAAAATTCGCCATGGCAACTTCACAGAATGTTTTAAGAATATGAAAAATGTATGGCAAAATCAAGGTGTGGTAAAAACCCTGCAACAAATCCAAGTTTTGTCAGTGAAACTAATGTCGTCAGATTTTCTTTAGTTTTACTAAATGCACTAATTTCATCGTCATTTTTGACCTAATGTCTTTTTAGGTTGGTGGCTACCAATGTATGGAAGGCCACTATAGGAAAATTCTGGAAGCAATTGACAAAGAGACGTTTGGACTTGAAGAATATTGTATACGATATGAAAACATTGCAAAACTTTTGTAAGTCTTCATTCAAAAGTTGAAAAGTTAAGATCAACAATAGGAAGCTTTTGATTGCATGACAATGGTAGGACGTAGTAAAAGTTAAGGTCACCTCGTCAAGTAGATTCTGGAATGCAATTTGGTCAAATCTACGTATGCAGAGAACGTAGGACGCCAGGTAGGACGGTCACGCATGAGTGATTCCATTCTAGCGTCAAACCGTCGCACAAATCGAAAGCTCCCTACTTTTAATTTAATTCTTTCGTTAGCCTCCCCAAAGGAGCGAAGCTCCGGGAAGGCCATTGTTTTTTGCCTATGTTTGTCATGTTGTTGTTTTCACTGTTGTTGGTCTTTTGTTATTACCACAATATCTAATGTTTGGTAAGTCTGATTGGTTTCAAACTTGATGATACTGTAGTAATAAGAAGGAACGTATTGTTTTTGGTACGTGTGTGAATATGCCAATTGCTCATTTTCGTGTTTCACTAATCAGGTAATTCAGGCTAGATGATAACTGAAGTTTAGTAATAAGAAGATGGAGCCTAAGGTCGTAGTAAATTGTTTGCTACAACGATAAATAAAGTTTGTTTGAAGGTTTGCATGGCGAAGTAATAACATATGTTTAAGCTTGCAGTACACCACGTAGGCAGTTCTGAAAAGAACTGTTGTAGTTGAGAAAGTCTCAACATTTCAACTGAGTTGCTTCAATTGTCTTCGAGACTTTCTCAACTACAACAGTTCTTTCCAGAACTGCCTTGGTGGTGTACCGCAAGCTTAAACATATATGTAACTAAAGTTTGGTAAGACTGATTGGTTTCTAATTCCTACTTATCAATTTTAAGAGAAAAATCACACTATGGGGAGGCTATGCTTTTACTTTGCAACATAGAGTACTACAGTGTTACATCACGATACCATGTGATACTACTCCGTTGCTATCATTACAAAATGCGTTCAACCCGATGCCATTTTCGCCACTAACAAACCATTGACAATTATTAATCTTACTTTTTCTTTGTAAATTTTAATTGATGATTAAATGTCTAATCGATAACTAATATAATGCGAGCTTTTGTGTTTTTAGTACATTTTTGATGGTAAAATATTAGATTTTAAAGTGCCTATTCCAGAAAGCCTATGCAGTCATTCAGACGTAATCAAAGAGTATAAAACTGCAAGAGGTCCGACTGCCCTTATTTTTTATAGATGCAATGGAATGTTAAAAAGTAATCCCACGAAGGGGCGTGTCCTTCATAAGAACGTAAAAGGCGTTCGCATTAAACAAGTGCTGCGTTTCAAATTCCAGCATACATTCTATAGACGCGCAGCACGTGTTCGATATGAACGCACTTTACGTTCTTTTAAAGGCCACGCCCCTTTTGGGTAGTACTTTTTGAAATAGGATTGCATTCCAAAGAATCCCCGGCAGTCAGACCTCTTGCAGTTTTATACTCTTGGGCGTAATGAACAACAGAGAGCGCCACCTGGCGTCGTGACGACACGACTGTGATACTTTATAAAAGGAGTATTCTAGTTTTTATCTGTGTTTATGATTATTATGCAATATATTATTCATGTTTTGGTTTACATTTTTTTTTTAATTATTTCAGAGTTATTTAACCCATTTTCAGGGTTCAATAAAAAGTACACTGTCTTTGTCTACACTTTACAACTGAAACCTTCTAGGGGGATTGAATGAAACAATATTATCACTATTCCTGCTGTCCAACTACCACTATCTAATGTTCCATCTCATTTTGCACTGTAGAATTCACATTTATTATGGACAACAACACATGAACTTTGTTATTTGAAAATAAGATTGATATCCTGGCAGTCTGACCTGGTTCTTAAGTGTGGTGTCGAGAATGACTTCCTTGCTCTGTCTGATATTAAGAGGTCTTCTCCACACTTCAGGTCATTCAGTGTTTATCATCCTCACTGTGGCGGGGTGTTTCTATACAAATCGCAAATTATTAAATTATTATTTGTTCAGGGTACAAGCTGGTGAGTACACTGTAGCCAAGGGTTACATCGATATCGCCCTCAACATCGAAGAAGAGCAGCTTGGTGGAAGACCAGAACGATTGGTGGAGCTGTTTGCCCTTTATGGTGAACTCTATGATGAGGTGAGCTACTGTGTAGTAGGATTCTTAATCCCATACATAAACTGTGTCAGTATGATTCCATGGAGAATGCAACATGATGGTAATTCATTAATCCTTATATACACATTTAAAATGTTATTGTATTGTAACATAGATCCTATGTGAAAGCATGTGGCACAGCATTGGGCTTCCAACCAATCGGTGTTGAGTTTGAGTTGGGACGCTGGTCACGGTTGTGAATTTTCGACTTTGCTCCGATGGTAATATTTAGGATGTAATGCCATTACGTTAAGTCATCTGAGGTGGTTGGACCCTCCATCTGTGAAAGTTCCTCCCTGGGCCCCCTCTATTTCAAATTCCTCGATCCGCCCTGTTACTTGCTATAATGTGCATCATGTGTGGTGGACGACGAGAGTTGCTGGTACCGGGTTACCGGGTAGCACAGACACGAAGGCACCCTTAGTGGCAAAGAAAGTCATTGATCGAGTTCCTAGTCCACATTTCAAGCGCCCTGAGCATCTTACATTAGATGGATTTGTGCGCTATATAAAACTACACTATTATTATTATTATTAATTGCTTTATTAATAATTAATTTTTTACCTTTGATTTCCCTTGATTTCAGATTTCTAAGTTACATGAATATATTAATAAAGAAAACATTAAGGATTTGAAGCCATGCATTGAGTACTTTAGGAAGTCAGTGCAAATCAGGGAAACGTTAACCGGAGACTATCACAAGGTAATTCCAAATAAACAAATTATCAATATTATAAGGTTTGTAATACCAATTTTATTCAATTAGCATTTTATTAACGTTCATACGATAAGAATCAGAGAAAATACAGGACAGGGCTTTATATGTTTTACAGTTTGTAGCAAAGAGTTCCATAGTCAAATAAAAATTAAATTATCATGTCTTTACTTGGAACAGCATATAAATGGTTGTATGTACTATATGATATTTCTCGCAACAGTGGTGGGTCGTCAAGGGGTCCGCCATGTCTGACAGTGGGTTCCGAACCAAGGGGCCTACTAGAGCCTTAATCAGGGTCCCCAAATAGAAATTCCTGCTAGGTTTCATGGGGAGAGTTTTTACGGTTTAGTGGGCCAGAGACTGTCCAGGACTGTTCCTCCTACCCTCCAGTCCCCCACCACTCAAACTGCTGGCACCACCACTGTCTCGGAACTGTATGGGACACTTTATAATTACAGCGCCCTCTAAATTTACATTTCTTTTATAGTACAAGATGGGAATTTCTCTCATGTCATTATCGTTTACTCTAAACACCTTTTATGAATGTGAAGGTGACGACACACTGGATGCAGACAGCGCCCAAGAAGAGGCATTGAAACACATTGAGAAAGCACTGACAATATTTGAAGAGGTAATTTATTGATGCTAAGATTATATATGCAGTAGAACTCTTATTATTTGGACACATTTGAAGCCAAAAACAAATGTTGTCATGACTTGTCACTAAAATGTTATTGCATATACAGGTTTCCCAAATGAGGGGGTTCTACTGTATTGTCCTATAGAGAGAAATAATTCATTCAGTGAAGCTTGTAATCCAGGACTCGCATTGCTCTTTATTATCAAAGATAATGTTAAAGTTGTTAGAATTATACAGCATGTTACTATTTTCCTCATGCACTCATACTATTTTATTCCTACACCCTTCTCTCCAAAGGGTCCCATCATGATGTTAAATGCTGGCAACCAATGCTAACGTCTAGTCCACAGCAGGGGCTGGACCAGAACACCATAGTAACCATGCTCTGCTGTGGTTCAGTATAGTATACGCAATGAGCCTATCTTAAGCCAATATCTGGGTGTATATGCACCCACTTAAATCTGAAAATGTCCATTTTTTTTCAACAGTCAAGAATGTATTGAATATAAATTTGTTATTTTCTGTAATAAAGATTAAGTAAGTTTTGTATCTTTACATTTTACCAAGCAATCTATCATTAAGCCAGTATTTTGACAAATTTAAGCTGATTTCCAACCAGCTTTCCCCCTGATCCCAATTGCACACCCTCTCACACCCCCCTCACCTCAATAACAATCCTGTATATTTCTGTGTGTGTTTTTATTGTTTTCTAACCAGCACTGGTGTTAAGGTGTAGGTTAAGGCCCCATGCTTTAATTGCATGGCCACTTGAATCACTAAACCATACCATTGTAAGTAACACGATCATTTGCTTGTTGTTTTAAGCTTGGAGATCTTGGGAAGGTGGCAGAAGCTACCATGACAAAAGCTATTATGTTTGACCGAGGATCAGATGAACAATTGGAAGTAAGTTGAGCATAATCAGTGCCATCAAAATATGGTACTTCCACAATCAAATTGTCTCAAGGCACTGGGGCTATATAAGCCACAGATCCTAAACCAGCTTAGTATAAACCATACTATGTATATGTGCCTGGCCCAAACCAGCTTAGTGTAATCAGCACCTTTTATTTGAGCCCGCCTCCAGACCAATGTAGTATAAATCACATCATATAATATGAGCCAGAACTCAAACCAGTATATATTCGACCTTCTATAAGGCTGGTTTTTAATTAGGCGAATTTATTCGCGTGAATCAAAGCGTCGGTTCGCTTCCGGAGATTGGTTGCGCATTTATTCACAAAACTCCGATACAGATGTGAATGCGCATAAGCCGACTCTTTCTGTTCTCGCGAATAAATTCGCCTAGTGGAAAACAGGCTTACGAGCCCAGCCCCAAACCAACTTTATAAACAGGATCGTAATCCAGAATGTTTAATTTTTTTTTTGAAGTGGTACAAAAAAGCGTATGAACAGTGTGAGCAAGCATACGGAAGCAACTGCAAGCTGATGGTCAGGCTGATAAGCAACATAGGTATATTCTATGAAGATATAGAAGATTACGAGACTGCCTACGAATATTATGTCAAGTGGTACAATAAAGCTATAGAGGTAAGTTGAATTTGTTGATGATAAAGCCAAAAAAAAAAAATTCTTATGTTGGCCACGTTTTGGGAAAAGAAAAAAAGTAGGTCAGTAAGAAACGTTTTATTTTTTCCAATAATATGTTTATGCCTAAACAGTAGGAAACACAAAAATATAACAAAGACCATTTAATAATCAAACTATTGGTTGTAGAGCAGTTGCTATAGGCCACAGGTGGGCAAAAAAGGAATTAAAAACCCCTATGTGTGCAGCCTAAAAGAGCAACATTGGCTTGAACACACCTTATTTTTGGCCCGACACGGATCATATGTAAAAAGTAACATTAAAACTAAGAATAAAGTGGTGTAGTGCTTGGAGGCTTTTGGAAGCTCACCGGAAACATCAGTTTAGGCGTGTCACTCTGTGTTAAATCAAAAATCCATTTTGGCCTTCCAACCAATTTTAATGCCCACGCCTGCTATAGTCCCTGTATTGTAAATCCATCCAAGTGCTGGTTGCTCAGTGTTCATTGTGCGTCTGCATTACCTGGGCATATTAGAATGATAGTGTAATATAGTTTATTGCATGTGTGCCATAATGTGCCTTTTAATATAACAATATAACAAGTAGTTTGCGCACTGACACTCTTCGCAATACTTGGCAATATGGATATGAATAAAATGATTGTGGTTAATGTCACTTGCGCAATAGTTGGACACACGCAATAGTAGAACACACTCGCGCATAATAAGACTCTGTTCTTAACACTCAATGTTTATATCAACATTATAGGTGTTTGGAGAAAATCACCCTAAAACTGCTACCGCACGAAATTCTCTGGATGAACCAGTGTACCTACAGATAAAAGCAGCTATTGAAGCTGGCAATTAAGCACAAAGAGGAGATAGCAAAAAAATGCAGACAACACAAAATTGAACTCTAGGAGTAGTGCCCTCACATGGTGATGTCATAATCTATGTTTTTATCTCAACATCAAGGACAGAAAAGGGACCTTTCTGCTAAACTCCATCCCTTGAATACGGTTACTGGGGCTCCACGGCAGTGTTATGTTTGCATTGTTTATGTTATGTTTATGTTAGCAATCATTATATAAAGCTGCCTTGAAATGTCTAAAAATATGATATGTATTTTCTTCCTAATTAAATAAATTTAAAGCATTTAACCATTCCATTACTACACTGTATATTTACATTCACTAATAAAATTTAATTTTCTCTTTTATCTGAATGTTTTTTGACAAAACCAAAATTTTATTTAAATTTTTTTTTTCTGCCCTCCTCTGATAAAAAATTCGCAAAACAATATACTGTAATAAAATCTCACTTAATGTGTGGCTGTTATTTCTGGCATTTTTTTTCAATTACTATGTTACTAATTACTATATTACTATTTTTTTTTCAATTGCAGTACTATATAATTATAGATGTTTGAAAGGCCAATTTTTCAACCTTTAATTGCTTTTATAACGTAACTATGGATTTTAGCCCAGCGGTTAATTTCACATTCTAGAGTGCAAAGGTGAGTTATTATTGGCCATGAACCCTTGAGCGATGCAATGGGGGTGGGGGCCAATCCTGGGCTGTCCATTTATGATTTACAGATTTATGTGCATGAGTAATGCAGTAATTTTTCCTCATTGCCAATACAAAATGTTGTTTGAATGAGGTAAAAGAATTTAGGCATCTCTGCATTTTTTTTCTTACAACCAGAACAGGGAAAAATGCATTAAAGTAGCATTTATAGCTGTTGGTTTTACTTCCTCTAAGTCCTATTTCTTAGATATTGTGGCGCACGATGATCCTAAAAATGACAGATAAGTGTAAACCATGTTTCTGGGACATGTGCATATTCCTGGCTATGTGTAAATTGGTCAGTTGTCTGAGGAAAGTTCATTCGCTAGGATGAATGTAAGCTTACGGGTTCTTAATCATAGCAGAAATATCCAGCGGCGAATCTAGGGGTGCGTTGGAATGCACCCCTCCAACATAAGGTTCTCCCCACCCCCTCACTCACTCGCTTCCCCACCCTTTTTTAAAAGCAAGGAAGTTACACTAAGTATTTGAAAATTACTTTATTTTGCCATAATTGCGCCACTCAATTTGTCATCGAGTCTGATCACTCACATTCCCCCCTCCCCCACCAATACCCCTAAATACGCCACTGAAGGTACCTCTATGATTATATTACAAAATATCCTGTTGGGTAATTTTAATCTCTTGTATTTATTTTTGTATAGTTATATTCTTTATTAAATATGAAGCGTTTAGGTTGAAACATTATTGTAGTGCAATTTAATGTACAAAGCAGATTAAACATTTGTTAATCACGAGACTATCCGTCCATTTTAAATATCAGTGAGACTTGTACATAGTGTATAGTCAGTGTAGTATAACCTCCATGATATAACTCAGTGTTATTGTATAATTTAATATTATATAGTATTTCAAAAGTACCATGTCCCCAAGATAATTTTTTTTTTATTTTCGTAATTTTTAGGAAAAACAAATTTCTTAATGGAAGTTAATTTTGCAAATTGCATAATCCAAAATAATTTTTATCATACAATATCATCCAGTGCAAGTATATGAATATATTTTCTTATTTTTGTTATGTGTTTTATTATATTTATTCTTAATACAAATGTTTTTTATTTTTTTTTTATTTACATCATTTTAGTATATTGGTGTAATACCATCCAATCAATTGTGTGTACACGTACATAGACAATTCAAGTGATTTGTTCAACCTGTTTGGTAATGTATTTAATATTCTGTGTACACGTCGTAGCAAATAGACTGGATTTTATCTTAGTCATCAATGTACGATAGCAAAATAAATGCATGACTAGATCGGACTCGGCTTACTAATACATTATTGTGCATATCATTTTCAAGTACTTCTGTATATTTTCAAATAAACCTAAAGACGATTCTTGGTGTCATTGTTTATTTTTGACTACATACTGAAAGCATATCATCATCGTCATTTCGTCGTAGCCAACCCACGTTATCATCATTGTCGTCGTTGATTTTATGAAGAATGGAACACGACGTTTCGTATACGATATATTGGTTGTTAATGACGATTGCTAGAATGCAATCAAACATCAGCAGGCGGTGTCCTGTCGTGTTGTCAATCGCTCACAGAGAGCGGAAATGTATTCGTCGGCCGACAGTCGTACGACGACTCAATGGTCTTTGGCTGTTAAAAGGAATTAGTAAGCGATCACTAATCAAATTTGTATTTCAAGTAGCTGACCATTAATGTTGGAAGCGGCAGTTGATGAAGTTCACTTAAGCAGTACACATTTTCTCTGATAACAAACCGACAAAGACTCTTCAATGATCGTGGGTGTCCTGTTATGTTAAAAAAAAAACACATGAATTAAATTTTATTAGTATTTGTAAGTATTCTTTTCTTTTGAAAATAAAAATATCATGTCGTAACTAAAGTAATTAAATGATTAGATTTATGACTGAAAGCTCTTTCTCAAGTAAATTTACTAGAACTAATTTAAAGGTGAGCACTCTGGTTCAATATATTGGATAAAAGTAAAGTAAATTAATGCTAAGTGTCTCTGTATTTTGTAGATTGGCACCCTTGTTTTATGACTTAAATCTAGCAAAAGTAAAGATATTTTTTTTTAAAGAAATAGATCTCCCATCACAACTAACTGTTAGTGATTAAAATGCTATTGACATCTTTTTGCGAAGCAAAGAACAGTATTTGTTTAATAGAAGAATTCCCATTGATAGGATTAAGATTGACTAGGATAGAAACGCCATACTTTAATATCTTTCACATTATTAGCAAAGAGTATAAATAGAACAAGAGAGCAAAGTCCCGTTCGTAAAAACGTCATGCC